GAGTGTTTATGTGTGAGAGTGTTCGTGTGTGCGTATGTGTGTGCGCATGTAAACGTTTTTGTGCATGAGATTGTTTTCATGTGGGCGTTTGTAAGTGTGAGTGTGTGTGTGTGTGTGTGTGTGTGTGTCTGCGTATTTTTTAGAGAGAGAAAAAAAAATGGGGGGAAGGGGCAGAGAGAGACAGATATATAGATGTATGTGTTTATTTGTATATACATGAGGGAAAAATAGAAAAAGTGACATAGAAATATAGATAGATATAAACACGTCAGGCAGACAATTTTTATGAACGAGAAATACTCCTACATAAACATCTAGACTGACAGACATAATGACTAACATTACAGTAGAAACACGGATAGATCGTTACACTGACAGAAATACACACAGATAAACAATGTATGCACTTTGACGACCAAACAGAAAAACACAATGACTGACAGCTGAGATATATTGAGAGACGAAAATACAAGACAAATAAACATTATGGATATTAAGATTTACTCACTGAGAGATAATCGCTTGCAAACCTAGAGAGGTTGACAACTTGATGTTTTTCTCATGTTGTTTTAGAATCCTCTAGGACTCTTCAACAACTGACATTGTTTCCCTATTTATTTGTGTTTTTCATCACATTTTGCTGATTCGCTAAGTATGCTGTTGAGTCGTGTACAACTCTTCGTGTTTAACTTTTCATGTTCAGCTCTTCATGTTCAACTCTTGATGTCCAAATCTTCATGTTCAACTCTTCATGTTCAGCTCTTGATGTCCAAATCTTCATGTTCAACTCTTCATGTTCAGCTCTTGATGTCCAAATCTTCATGTTCAGCTCTTTATGTTCAACTCTTGATGTTCAAATCTTCATGTTCAACTCTTCATGTTCAGCTCTTGATGTCCAAATCTTCATGTTCAGCTCTTCATGTTCAACTCTTGATGTTCAAATCTTCATGTTCAGCTCTTGATGTCCAAATCTTCATGTTCAGCTCTTCATGTTCAGCTCTTGATGTCCAAATCTTCATGTTCAGCTCTTGATGTCCAAATCTTCATGTTCAGCTCTTCATGTTCAGCTCTTGATGTCCAAATCTTCATGTTCAGCTCTTCATGTTCAACTCTTGATGTCCAAATCTTCATGTTCAGCTCTTCATGTTCAGCTCTTGATGTCCAAATCTTCATGTTCAGCTCTTCATGTTCAACTCTTCATGTTCAGCTCTTCATGTTCAGCTCTTCATGTTCAACTCTTGATGTCCAAATCTTCATGTTCAGCTCTTCATGTTCAACTCTTGATGTCCAAATCTTCATGTTCAGCTCTTCATGTTCAACTCTTGATGTCCAAATCTTCATGTTCAGCTCTTCATGTTCAACTCTTGATGTCCAAATCTTCATGTTCAGCTCTTCATGTTCAACTCTTGATGTCCAAATCTTCATGTTCAGCTCTTCATGTTCAACTCTTGATGTCCAAATCTTCATGTTCAGCTCTTCATGTTCAACTCTTGATATCCAAATCTTCATGTTCAGCTCTTCATGTTCAGCTCTTCATGTTCAGCTCTTCATGTTCAACTCTTGATGTCCAAATCTTCATGTTCAACTCTTGATGTCCAAATCTTCATGTTCAGCTTTTCATGTTCAACTCTTGATGTCCAAATCTTCATGTTCAACCCTTCATGTTCCACTCTTCATGTTCAGCTCTTCATGTTCAACTCTTGATGTCCAAATCTTCATGTTCAGCTCTTCATGTTCAGCTCTTCATGTTCAGCTCTTCATGTTCAACTCTTGATGTCCAAATCTTCATGTTCAACTCTTGATGTCCAAATCTTCATGTTCAGCTCTTCATGTTCAACTCTTGATGTCCAAATCTTCATGTTCAACTCTTGATGTCCAAATCTTCATGTTCAGCTCTTCATGTTCAACTCTTGATGTCCAAATCTTCATGTTCAGCTCTTCATGTTCAACTCTTGATGTCCAAATCTTCATGTTCAACTCTTGATGTCCAAATCTTCATGTTCAGCTCTTCATGTTCAACTCTTAATGTCCAAATCTTCATGTTCAGCTCTTCATGTTCAACTCTTGATGTCCAAATCTTCATGTTCAGCTCTTCATGTTCAACTCTTGATGTCCAAATCTTCATGTTCAGCTCTTCATGTTCAACTCTTGATGTCCAAATCTTCATGTTCAGCTCTTCATGTTCAACTCTTGATGTCCAAATCTTCATGTTCAGCTCTTCATGTTCAACTCTTGATGTCCAAATCTTCATGTTCAGCTCTTCATGTTCAGCTCTTCATGTTCAGCTTTTCAAGTTCAGCTCTTCGTTTTCAATTCTTCATGTTAAAATCTTTGTCTTCAGCTCTTCGCGTTTAGCTCTTTGTGGTAAGCTTTTTATGTTCAACTCTTTGAGTTCAACTCTTTATGTTTAGCTCTTCATGTTCAGTTCGTCATGTACAACTCTTCATGTTTAGCTCTCCCCGTTCAGATTTTCAAGTTCAGCTCTTCGTGTTCAATTCCTTATTTTAAAATCTTTATGTTCAGCTTTTCACGTTCAGCTCTGAGTTTTCAACTTTTTTTGTTCAGCTCTTCATGTTCAATTCTTTATTTTCAGCTCTTCGTGTTCAGCTCTTTATGTTCAGTTCTTTTTTTAACCTCTCACGTTCGAATCTTCATGCGGAGCTCTTCGTGTTCAGTTTTTCATGATCAATTCTTCACGTTCAGCTCTTCACGCCTAACTTCTTACGTTCAGCTCTTCATCAAACTTTTCACGCTTAACCCCTCAGTTCAGCATTTCCAAGAAATAGGAAGAGGAGGAGGATAAAGAAGAAGAAGAAGAAGAAGAAGAAGAAGAAGAAGAAGAAGAAGAAGAAGAAGAAGAAGAAGAAGAAGAAGAAGAAGAAGAAGAAGAAGAAGAAGAAGAAGAAGAAATAAGAAGAAGAAGAAAGAAGAAGAAGAAGAAGAAGAAGAAGAAGAAGAAGAAGAAGAAGAAGAAGAAGAAGAAGAAGAAGAAGAAGAAGAAGAAGAAGAAGAAGAAGAAGAAGAGAAGAAGAAGAAGAAGAAGAAGAAGAAGAAGAAGAAGAAGAAGAAGAAGAAGAAGAAGAAGAAGAAGAAGAAGAAGAAGAAGAAGAAGAAGAAGAAGAATTAGCAGAAGATAAAGAAGGAGGAGAAGGAGGAGGAGAAGGGGAGGCAGCAGAAACAGCAGAAGCAACAGCAGATAGGGGCTTCACTGGGACACTGTCTGTTCCAAAACATTGTTAACAATAGGGCCACTGTAGTCTGGCTCATGCCAGGAAGGGACGATAATAAAGCTGGAGGAACTCTTAATTCTCTACGTAAACTTTCTCATTTACAGACATAGTTTAGCATTCCTGTTTTACTCGTTTGTGAAGACGTTGGTCGAAACGTTTGATTTGACTTGTGTGCGTCTTTTTCTTTCCCCTTGAGTTTTTAGTCTCAGTTTGTCTTGTCTCTGTGTCTTCTTCTTCTACTTCGGCATTCCGAGCCCATGAGGTTCATTGCTGCAGATATCACCAGACTCCATTCATCTTTCTGATTAGCCTTCTTTTTCCAGTTGGTGACAGTCATTCAATGTTTGTAAGTCTTTTTTGTGTGTGGATATTATCACTTCATGGTCTTGTTGTTCAGCCTAGCGGTCTACGGCCGTTCAGCTTCTTCCTACATACAGTTTTCATTTCTCTGTCATCTGACATTCTTTCAGTATGTCCCAACCATTTAGCATATTATCTCTCATAATGCCAATTATCAATGAGGATTTAACAAGATTATGAATTTCGTTGTTGCTTCTCACTCTCCATTCTCTCTATTTGCATCTTTGATCTGTACAAAGATTTGCCGTAAAACTTTGTTTTTGAAAACCTGAAAAAAAGCTATTTTCTTTTTTATTTGTGCTCCACGCTTCAGTGCCATATTAAAAAAAACTAGTCTGATCAGCCTTTTATATGTTTTAAACTAGGTCTTGCGAGATACAGACTTTGACTTTAGCGGTGGCGAACGGCATTGTATACTTTATTTCTAGACTGTATTCTAGATTGTATTTCTTCTCTCAACGTGATGGAGGAATGAAGTTTTCACCTAAGTACTTGTATGTTTCCGTTCGTTCGATTTTCATACGAGTATTTTCCCCATCATGTGGCCGAAGTTTGTGAACGGGGTTTTCTGGGACTTGCCTGTGAGAGATCTCATACGAAAAGTGGCACTTTGTGTCACCGGGTGTAAAGGGCTCGGTGTGCGGTCCTCGTGGGGATGAACTTGCCTGGCTGACTCGTCAGCCACCGAGTATCTCTTAGCCCTTTAGAGATATCAGCACCGAATGCCTGAAACGTCGACCCAGGACGTGGCGAAGTGCCCTTTACCTCGGTGAGTATGTCAGGGGTCACGTGGTTAGTACATTCGTATCTCAGTCTGTTAGGCATGTGTTCAAATCTCCGCCATTGTAGGAAGTTCTACAATTGATGTGGGTTCTCCCGTGGACCTAGACTAAAATATGTATTAGTTAACATGGCGGGGGGGGGGGGGGGCTGTGGTGTGGCGGCAAGACACTCGCCTGCCGAATCAGAAAGTCTTGGGTTCGGGTCTTGGCTATGCCGGGTTTTTTTTTTTTTAATCACATTGGCTCTCAGGTCGACCTAGCCTTCAGTTGGTACCAGGTAACGTTCTGGGAAGTAAAGGCGGCCCCGGGGTGATGCTGAACCACAACACCCACCAAGTGCCGATTGGTCTATAAAATGTAATTCTAGCCCTATACACCCAGTATGCTTAAAGGCGTGAAAAAGGGTACTCCACTTACTATACCAACATTGTGGTAGGTCAAGGGTCAGTATTATGTTAACCCCCTGGCCCATTGAGTGCTGGCAACTGGTCTTTGACATCACAGTGTGAGCACCATGCGCCCAACACTGGCCACGCCGTGGAATATGGCTGATTCCTTGTGCCCAACACTGGCCACGCCGTGGAATATTGCTGATTCCTTGTGCCCAACACTGGCCACGTCGTGGAATATGGCGGATTCCTTGTGCCCAACTCTGGCCACGTCGTGGAATATGGCGGATTCCTTGTGCCCAACACTGGCCACGCCGTGGAATATGGCGGATTCCTTGTGCCCAACTCTGGCCACGCCGTGGAATATGGCTGATTCCTTGTGCCCAACACTGGCAACGTCGTGGAATATGGCTGATTCCTTGTGCCCAACTCTGGCCACGCCGTGGAATATGGCTGATTCCTTGTGCCCAACTCTGGCCACGTCGTGGAATATGGCGGATTCCTTGTGCCCAACACTGGCCACGCCGTGGAATATGGCGGATTCCTTGTGCCCAACTCTGGCGACGCCGTGGAATATGGCTGATTCCTTGTGCCCAACACTGGCCACGCCGTGGAATATTGCTGATTCCTTGTGCCCAACACTGGCCACGCCGTGGAATATTGCTGATTCCTTGTGCCCAACACTGGCCACGTCGTGGAATATGGCGGATTCCTTGTGCCCAACTCTGGCCACATCGTGGAATATGGCGGATTCCTTGTGCCCAACACTGGCCACGCCGTGGAATATGGCGGATTCCTTGTGCCCAACTCTGGCCACGCCGTGGAATATGGCTGATTCCTTGTGCCCAACACTGGCAACGTCGTGGAATATGGCTGATTCCTTGTGCCCAACACTGGCCACATCGTGGAATATGGCGGATTCCTTGTGCCCAACTCTGACCACGTCGTGGAATATGGCGGATTCCTTGTGCCCAACACTGGCCACGCCGTGGAATATGGCGGATTCCTTGTGCCCAACTCTGGCCACGCCGTGGAATATGGCTGATTCCTTGTGCCCAACACTGGCAACGTCGTGGAATATGGCTGATTCCTTGTGCCCAACTCTGGCCACGCCGTGGAATATGGCTGATTCCTTGTGCCCAACTCTGGCCACGTCGTGGAATATGGCGGATTCCTTGCGCCCAACTCTGGCCACGCCGTGGAATATGGCTGATTTCTTGTGCCCAACTCTGGCCACGCCGTGGAATATGGCTGATTCCTCTATGTCCGTGAAAAGTTGCAGACTTTACAAAACTAAATGCACTACAGATTTTAAGACTACTTAAAGTTTAACATACTTTGTGCATAATACAGTTGGGATAAATCAAATGACCCGAATGTCTAGTCGACATTATGACATTCCATGAGCGATGAACAGCCGCAGGCAAGAAGGAAAACATCTAAAGATGTTCTGAGAAGAAGGAGAAACGCCGGAAAAATAAGAAATATCTGTGGGGAAAACAAATTATCAGATTGTTGAAACGCTGTCTGTCGGCTTGTAGACGACGGCAATGACACTGAGAAAAAAACATGGACAAAGTACACAACACTTGTTTATGAAGTTGTTGACAATCTTTTGGACAGAACAGAAATGGGACGTTGGAGCAAGGTCAGCTGTTGTGGTAGGAACAGGCTTCAAAAACACAAGTAAAACATTTTATTTTCGGTCTTGTAAATAAGAGGAGGGGGTAGCGTTAGCACAGCTGCTAAGATGCTTGCTTGTCGGTCTAGAGATTGTTTGTTCAAATCCTTTTTAGGCGGGGATTTTTTTCTCTTGATCTGGGCTCTTGGGTCGACCCATCTTGAAATGGGTACCAGATTTGATCAAACGTAAAGACAGCCAACGTGCCAGCTGATCGATCTCACTATAAAGTTAGCGATATGTATACTCAGTAATTCACAAGTTCGTGAAAATTACTGTTTGACTTGTTTACTTGTCAACAAGGAAGACTGCATTCACATCTGGGTCATATGCGCGGAAAATAAACGTTAATAGTACAGGATCCGTTTCGCTTAATCAGGGCATTAGCCATGCGATTCTAGGCTTATGAGTTCACAGACGAGCGGTTTCCATAAGTCCTCTGTGCTCTTTCCGTGGGCTCCCGGCTGTTCTAGGACAATACATAACAACTGATTGTAATTAAACAAGAAGCGATAAATCAGCGATACAGCCCAGGTCCACAAGATACACATCATCAGTTCTAATAAATTCCAACAGCAAAGACATGAATCAAAAGAGGTCGCCGGGTTGGCCGTTTCTTTGTTATGTTAACTTACAAAGCCATTGTGTCGTATTTCTTCTTTGCAGACTACTATCAAACAACGCATCAAGAGGTTGAAGGGTAATTTTTTGGGGAATTAATTTGTATTGTCAACCCAAATTCCATGAGGAAGGTGTGCAGATATGTGCCCTAATGGTGCAGGCGCAATGACCTGACAAAATGCAGAAGCCATTGCCCGAAATAAAGATGAGGCAAACAACAGCCATTTTTTTTGTCACAGACGCGCAAGACTAGAGAAAAACATAAGACATTGTGTGCTGATTGTCATGTTTAATGGTTCCATAACAATAAGAACCTACCTAAAGTGATGGCCCCTTATAAGCTAGCTCTTCAAACTAACGTGTAAGTATATATTAAGCTGTCACGAAACGATCTCAGTGATTCCAGAAGTTAGTACTTGTAATAAGTTCTTCTGGTTATTGAGAGACAAGAGACTATGCCCTTAAACCAAATGTTACTTTAAACCGTATTGATTTAAACGTTTCCAGTCCTTAGTCCAGACAAAGCGACCCAACCTTGGGTAATATTACCTAAAACTTTACACTGTAGCTAGGAATTCTATTCTCATGCCAGTGTCAGAATGTTATCTCCTGACCACAGACTGTAGAGGCCAGCGAACGGGGAACTTAGCATTACACCTGAGCTGGGCCGTAGGTCATAAAGATTACCTAACACGAATTGAGCGGACTGTAGACACAGAGGCGACGAGAAGTTTAAAGTTTAACACGTCAGTGTAATTCTGGAGAGAACAGGTGTTTGGCAATTAGGAATGCTTTATCTTGATCTTGGTCACGTAGGAAACACAATGGCTTCACTGACCGTCTTTCACACCGGCCAGTTAGATTCGGTGTAAACTAGATTGGGTCACTTAAGAATGTTTGCTCTAGGGATGTCAGTCCAGAATTGACTGACAGGCCACTTGTTAGCTAATTTGATCTGTTGGGTACTCCGGAGGTGGAGCTTAAGCCATCATCTTGAGGGTTGGTTAAAAACTAAGGAAAGGGAGGAGTTTAATTTGGACAATAGATTGATACTTATACTTCGAGCCTGTGGAATTCCCGTCATTAATCGCAGCCTGCCGGCAAACAAACAGGTCGACGTAAAGGTATATTTTACTGTCGTACTCTGGTTTGGCGATAGATGGAAAAGTTCCCAGGTGAGAGAAAATATTAATTTTAATCTTGTATACATAGGTTAGGGAGTTAAGCTTAGTCTATACTACCTTTTCCTAATTTGTCTGCACATTCTGCTTGAAATAGTTCTTTGTGAGAATTCAGTATCTCAGTTAGGGAACTGCTAAACTATTCCTATTTCTTGTATGTTTGTGTCACATGTTTTTCAGTGTATGTTTTCATGTGTAGAAAAAAAGATGTGAACAATGACATTTGATATAATGAAATGTAATTATATTGTTTCCATGATGCCCATATGTGCAGGGATGCTGTTACGTTTTGTGTGCCCACCATGTGCTCACTTAAGGTGTTCACCTAAACAGGGGATTTATAACCCCAGGGGGGAGAATGATGGGTGTACAGTATTTACTGTCACTGAAAGATAATATTCAGGACAGAGTGCACATATAAATTGTTTGAGTTTTCAGCACATAACCTGCTCCACGTGGTCATGTAATATCAATGTCAGCCAGTTGGAAGTCTGAGTGATGACGGACAACAGACTTAGAAAGTCAACTATCATGACATAGCATTGGAGGGAAGGCAGGATATGTGACGCCCATGTAAGACAAAAGACCTTCAGACTAGACTGGAGAGGATGTGGAATATGAGGAGGAGTGATGGGATATATTTTATTATTATATGTTGTATTAATTAATACATGTATTCTTAGTGTAAGTCAAGATACTACACGTATGTGTTTTGTTTCCATGATTACAGCGCCCATGTGACGATCAGTCCATGAAAGAGACTACATAGTGTTAGACTCGGCCAGCTGGGAACGAGGTGGAGAACGAGGGGGAGAACGATGTGGAGAACGAGGTGGGGAGGAAGTGGAGAATAAGCTGAAACAGGCAGACAACAGGCAAGAAAGAGTTGGACAAGCTTGACAGTTTCTCACAGCTGTCAGAGGCTTATAAGTTGAGTTAACCCCTTTATGTTAACCTTTTATCATCATTATCATACCACTCTAAACCCCGAGCTGTTTGTCTCGCTGAAGCGTATCACTTTCATTAACCAGTCACTGTTTGTGTAAATCAACAAACTGGTAATTTCATTGTAGTAAATAAAGCTGTATGTCAAGTTTTAAACTACATAGTTTGTTAAATTCCAAATGTCTGTTCTTACATGTTTAATTAAACTGTTAGGATAGAATACCATTTGGTGGAGGCTCAAATAATATAATAATTCTTTAAGTATTAATAATAACACCGGGAGAAGGTAGATGACGGAGGAATCACTTGCCCTGTCTAATAATTCATTAAGTATGATAGACATCTAAAATTCCTTGCCTTCTCTTGTGGGTACCAAGTGCAGCTAATGTTAAAGTACTTAACGAGCCAATATGGCTGTTTTCTTGGATATCCAGGACTTTGTCTGAGAGCAACATAGCTCAGATTTTAGTTCGGTTAATCTGGTGGAGGGAATGGGTTGAGAGGAACATCCCTATTCAACAACATAAACATTTAAACCACCCGTCACGTCACATAAGCCACCATCCGTCCGTCCGCTACACATCGATTTAATATGGTTTGTCTCGGAGAAGAGCTGGGATACGTTTGATGGAAACTGTGTGCAGAGGTAGCAACACTTCTGATAGATTGCAACACTCCACTAGTATCTACTTTACCTAAGAAAGACAGTGTCAAGATGACATATTTTCCAATATGTTTAGCAAAATAGACGAAATAAATCTCTCATTCTAAACCTCAGTGTGCCTACTTTTAGGAGGACACTCGTGTGTTGGTTTGAGTTCACGTAAATTAAAGACATTGATTGTTTCACTATGACGGAATGCGTCCAGAGTAAATACAGCGTGACATAATTATACTAACGTGCAACTTGGAGGGTGCTTTAAAAGACTAATGTGAACATTGTCATGTTTCATTGAATATTTCTACCTTGATAGTGTGGACCTTATTTCTATTCTTACCAACGGATGTAAACTCTTTAGTGAAATATATACTTTGATTTGTTGAACTGTGTGAGAATTTTATGTATGATTATGTTTAACAGAAGTAAGTGAAATCGTGGTAGCTGAGAAAAAAACTGACTATTGGGGTAAATTTCAAGTTTTAAAACATTATATCATAGCATGGGCATTGCGCAATTGTTTAGACAACTGTCAACATTTCCTTCAATACTTTGAAATATCATTACTTGTAAGAGGTTTAGACCACGGTAGGTATAGGGGTGTCGCCACAGAAACTGGTTCTAAACATCATTAACTTGTAAGAGATAAAGGCCGCGGTAGGTGTAGGGGTGTCGCCACAGAAACTAGTTCTAAACATCATTAACTTGTAAGAAATAAAGGCAGCGGTAGGTGTAGGGGTGTCGCCACAGAAACTGGTTCTAAACATCATTAGCTTGTAAGAGATAAATGCCACGGTAGGTGTAGGGGTGTCGCCACAGAAACTGGCTCTAAACATCAATACCTTGTAAGAGATAAAGGCCGCGGTAGGTATAGGGGCGTCGCCACAGAAACTGGTTCTAAACATCATTAACTTGTAAGAAATAAAGGCCGCGGTAGGTGTAGGGGTGTCGCCACAGAAACTGGTTTTAAACATCATTAACTTGTAAGAAATAAAGGCCGCGGTAGGTGTAGGGGCGTCGCCACAGAAACTGGTTCTAAACATCATTAACTTGTAAGAAATAAAGGCCGCGGTAGGTGTAGGGGTGTCGCCACATAAACTGGTTCTAAACATCATTAACTTGTAAGAAATAAAGGCCGCGGTAGGTGTAGGGGTGTCGCCACAGAAACTGGTTTTAAACATCATTAACTTGTAAGAAATAAAGGCCGCGGTAGGTGTAGGGGTGTCGCCACAGAAACTG